ACTCTAGACTCGGGCTGCCCATGGCTAGACTGCACTCGCCTGGGAGTCAACTATCCATTACTCATACTCTATTCCTACATTCAATTAAATTATAACACTTTGGCCTTCCACGCCTTATCTTATTTACTAATTTGTAACCGTCGAGATACGTCTATCTTCTATTATCCGGCCGGACTACTTCATGTCCTACATTGTCGACTCCGACTTTCTCTCTATCTCACATTGTTGACCCCAATGTTTTCTAGATCCTACATTGCTAACGCCGACGTAGTTTACATCCTACACACATTTACTATGACCGAAAGCATTTCTGGCGATAGGGAGGCTCCTTGGTCGACTATAAAGGCACGGAGTTTTAGTCCTATGAAATCATGATGTTGTGCCGTTCAATGAGGACAGATAGCGACCGTAGATTTTTTATGCCGAGAAACAGACAAGATCCAGAAGAGTATTTGGCAACCGTACGTATAATTTGGATAAATCCTCGTCAGACCAATAAGTACGCTTGCCAAATACTCTTCTGAATTCTCTGATACATAAGACCATAAGTCGACCTGCTGTTCTCATGGCATTCGAGTAAGCGATATACAGTCCTAGCGTTTAAAGTCTGCCTCTAATCACTGTCTTGTAGAGGCAGAACTTTGAGCCCTCCTTACGGAGAAACGTAGACTACTCCTTAGAATAAATGATTATATTTATTGTCAGTTTACAGGCAATGCTAAAAAGAAGATAAAGTAGAAAATGACCTGCCAAAATGATGAAGTTACTAGTTTTTGCCAGTTACTGGTGTTTTTCAGTAGAAAATAACTGCGGTCAGCAGATCTATAGCAGTTTACGACGGAGAAAGTCCTACACGATTGCATAAAAACACGATTACATATAAGCCTTATTATTATAGTGTTTTCATTCCCTCTTCCTTTTTTGTCTCGTGCTCATAGAATATCCGAACAGTGTAAATGAGGTACTGTGGGACTACCTGTACTCAGTCAAGGTTATTAAGCGATACCGTCTATGCTCTGTAAGACCCAATAAATAGCATTGAGACTTTATGATGAGAACGAAGATATCGGATATCGACTGGAATACTCCTCCTCAGGCAATATCACCTAGAATTGCAGCTGATTCAGGAAACGTGTGTAACATCTCACGAGGATCCACTGACTTTTATGAAAACTTTGGAAAGGCAACCGACCTCAGTGGCTGATACCAAAATTGGATAAAACCAACACAATTGGAAGTCTGTGGAAGAAGGCCCGCGGAAAAGGTGTAGTAGCTGAAGAATACAAAGTACCGAAGATGTGCTTTACAAATAAACCTTATCATTATTATAAGTTCTTCACAACGATGGGATTTTGAGCGAATTTTGATGCATCTACCCAAAAAAGATACCTAATATCTATAAGAATCGTGCTAAACGCAAAGCTAGCCAGGTAAATGAAGCGAGTTGCATCTCCAGGAGAACCTCAGACAAATTATTGCCACAGAAAAACGAGGCAGTCGACGCTAACACGGTAAGAATAACTCAACCTTCCTAACCTTTTTTGCTGAGCAAACCTACCGAATCAGCAAGCGCTAAAGATGAAAAAACTATACCGCACCTTAACGCATTGAAAAGCGTGGCGGTGGTTGCCTTCTTTATATTAAATCATCTTTTATACATTTCCCGTTTCACCTGAGCATTTCGTCATTTTCTGGAAATGTTT